GGCTGTCATGGCAGCCCTGCAGCTGGGGGACCTGCACTTGGCATCCCTGCTCCCAAACACCACCGGGAATCCCAAGGCTCCAGAGCTTCGTGTTTACGCTCTGTGCGCCGTGACATACAGCTAGAGAACGGCAAGGGGATGGAAAGGTAAAAAGATCAAGCGAGGAGCGCAAGGCTGAAGGCAGGCGCTGGAAAACGAGTTGCGCCAGAAGGTAGACGGGGGTTTAATCAGCCAGAGAATCCTACGGCAGGAAGCGGTACCGGCACAAAAGGAGGAACGAAAGCAGAACAAAGCATGGAAGCAGAGGGGTTGCAATGAATGGGCAAGAAATAATTGAAAAAAAAAAAGAAGAAATAAATTCAAAGCTAAAGGAGGAGGGAGGTGGACAGCAGGGGTATGGATAAGGACGAGCTAAAATGGATGAGAGGAAATTTTGGCAGGGAAACAGAATTGGAAGCAAAAAGCAACTTCTGCTTGAGTCAGTAGTTTGTAGTGTTCATGTTTGGTTTGTGTGTGTTAACCGTAAGAATTCTGTATGTTTTTAAGAGCTGTTTCTCAGACGATAAGAATACCTAGCTGGGTTTCGGAAGGTGTTTTTTAGCAATTGCTTTTGGCGTAGGAATAATCTGTGTTGTGTTCCATACTGTGCATTTTATAACTTAATTTTATCTTAGAAGTGCCTTTACTTTTCCAGTAGACCTGGCTTGTTATTTTTTTTGCAACTGTTATGAATGTAATTACAAAATATGAATAGAATTCTGTTTTACTATGCTCCTAGTAACCAAAGACGATTATTTCTGTTTTTATAGTACATTTGGGAACGCCTTGCTGTTGGTTTTAAACACAAGAATTACCGATCCCGAGAAGGAGTGTGTTTGTGTCTCATTGCTACCTTAAACATGTAAGCTGTTTGTTTCTATGGAGATGTAAGGGTTCTGTCCTTCTGAATGACGTTTTTCTCTGAAACTAATACTTTAAGAAGTCTGGTTCAATTAAATTAACAAATGGGAAAAACCAAACAACTTAACGTGCAAGGTTTCTGAATGAGAGACTAAAGGTATAGTATTTTTGTCTTATTTAAAAGTAGACAAAGAGGTAGTAAGAGAGAGACTGATCTTGATTGATGTAAGTTTGTATGTTACCAAAGCTAAGCTGAAAGTTCATTTATGCATATTTTCTGGTTTCCTGTTAAAAAAAAATCCCAACACCAAAACTTTTTTTCCCCCCAGTTATGGTGCACAATCATTAATCCTCAGCAAGTTGGTACCACATCTGTGTACAGCATTTGGTGACTCAAATAGTCAGGTAAGGATTTCATTATTACTGATGCGTCAACAGCTATAGTTTGACAGAGGAATGAAAGCAAAATAAACCTAGGCGTTGAAGACAAGCTGATAGGCTTGCTTGTATACAACAGATCATTATTTAATACAAGAAACAATAAACCCATTTTCTTCTGAATCAGTCTGTCCATTGGAAGATGAAAGTAGAGTTGCAAAGGCAGCAGTGTTGTGATACAGTGACTCTTTTAGTTTTGTCTTCACAGGCTGAAACTAATCATTACTGAAAATAGTTGTTTCTTATAAAGCATGTTGAAAGAAAAGAAAAAAAAAATTATTGACAGGAAGAATTGCCTCCAGAAGGAGCCTTTACATGAGACCTGTAATAGTCTGCCAAATTTGCTAAAGGAAACATTATCCTGTGCAGGACAGGTAATATTTCCTAAATGGAACTCAAATGGCATTTGAGCACATGCAAGAACTGTAGTTAAAATCAGTCAATTAAGCAAAAACATCTGCAGTGAAAATCAAAAAGCAGTTGATAATGGTGATATCTGAACTTCAGAAAACCTTCAAGTGGAAATGGCTAAGATCTCTCTTGATTTATTTGAAGTTGTGTCTGAGAGAAAGTACTTAGGAATACAGTAAGGAAGAAGGTAACATTGATAGGAGGTGGGCCAATAGGGTAGGTGTTCATGCTGATCTTCTGGGTGCAGCAAAGTCCTTGTCTGCTCTGTATAGCATAGCATTGTTCTGTACTAGAAAAAAACCTGTTAACAATGTCTTGCTTGTTGATCATTAGTAAAGATGTAATTCATATCTTGATAGAGCAATTGTGGGTTTAGTTTGAACTGGTACAAAGAACAATAATAAAGTAATTCTAGTAACTCTTTATAGAGAATAATGGCATTTACTGATAGGCATTTTTGGCAGTTTTTATTGTGGTGACTATGGCTTGATTTTCCCCCCCCAAAGAGGCATTCTATCTTCTTGAACTGTGCTTTCCCCTTCACCTATCTTGTCTCACTGCCGTTCTTGTGATTACGTGGTGCCACGTGATTCCAGCTGAAGGAAGTAACGAAAACGCTGATCCCTTTGGCCCGCTCGTGTGGGCAGTCAGGCCTGTAGTTTCCTAGAAGGGCCTCGCCATGTGTAGAAACAGATGAAAGCCAGATGAAGTGTCGAGACTGAGTGCAGGGAGTAACAAAAAAAAAACTTTCCAACTTTTTTTGGAAGTATTGCCTACTGTGATAGACTCCTAAATAAAGCACATTTTTTCCACAAATATTATTCTTATGTCAATCCAAGAAATTCCTTCTAGAGCTGTTACTTCTAGGATTTTTCATTTACCATCTGGGGATGCTCTAACTTGGAACAAATACCGCCTGGAAAGAACAGTTGTATTTCCTGTCCCTTCCATTCTCACTGTTTAAACTGTTCTGTGAAATGAGCTGGCATGCAGGTCCGTAGAAACTGGAAGATTAGAGGGTTGTCAGCAAATGTTGTGGTTTCATAACCCTGAAGGTAACAGTGTAAACTCTGCATTCACAGGTGAGAGATGCTGCCATACTAGCCATTGTAGAGGTTTATAGACATGTGGGAGAGAAAGTACGAATAGATCTTACCAAGAGAGGAATTCCTCCTGGAAGGTGAGTGAGCTGTTTTGATTTTGTAACCCTGAGCCATTCTGTCTTCCTGTTATCAGAACTTTAAACAAATGCACTAAAACCTTTGTTTTAAAGTTATTACAATTTTTGGTTTATGCTGTAGTTAGTTTTGCTTCCATCGTGGTGTGTAACTGGTGTCCTGACTTTCTTTTGGTGTTGTCTTTTCTGCTTGGAAGGGGCATCACAGGTCTGTGATGAAAAGCAGCCTTACAGGCACCAGTTAAAATCCCCTGACTTTAAGAGAAGCTGGGAGCTGGACAGTGGTAGAAAAATGTTTAAATTTTAAGCAAATATATACTGAGTGCAGTGGGGAAATAATGAGAAAATACTTGAATATATACATCTTGTTCCTTATTCTAGAGTTGCTCTTTAGCCTCAGTGTAGAAGAGTCTCATCTGAAGCACTTAAATCAATAGTTTTCATGCATTGTGCATGTGGGAGAGAGCACAAGCGTGTGTGTACGTGCGTGTGCAATGAGAGTACGGCATATTAACAAGCTACTGCTTTCTTGAAGCTAGTTACAGTAAGAAAAATTATCCTCCCTTGCTTCTTGCTGATTACATCAGACCAATCCTTTCCCCCTTGATGTTTGCTTACGGGCTACAGTTAGATGAGCAAGAGATACTTTTCAAAATAACGACTTCCCAGGTCTGAAGTTGCAGTTCTGGGGTTCGGTGAGAAAGGTGTGCTGGAAAGGAGCGTTCATGCCTCTCGCATGCCTCTTACACATGCCTCTCGCAGAAGGTGAAAGGAAGTTCTGAAAATGTGCTTTTAATCGGTCCTTTCTCCTTCTGAAAAGCAGTTCTGATCTTTAAAGTCTGGCCTGTGTTGTATGTAGATAATACGACATAAAAGTAGCCGTTGTTTTGTTGCTACCTTGGTAAGGGTTTGTTTCATTAAGAAAGCTAGACAGAGCTTGAGATTGTACTTAGCGGGAAAGAGCGTTTATACAATAAAATCTTTCATATTCCTTATTAAAAAAAGTTATGCTTTTTAAAATGTGTTAACCCCTTATCAATTAACACACCACTCTGAGTCTTCATCTCGCTCCTTGATTTTGATAAAACCGACTGTATTTACTGCATGGTGCCAGAGAGAATGTCAGGTTGGATATTGTGCCTCATCAGACCCTTCTTAGAAAACTGTTCGCCCTAGTTTTTAATGACGATTTCTCGGGTATCAAAATACCATAGGAGAATGGTGTTGAATTTATTGTTTCGCATTCCAGGCAGGGTTCAGCCTGTTTAGACAAACGCTTACCCTGCCTGTGGGAATAGGAAGTTGTACACATCCTCTTCCGTTTAATGGCTCTCACAATTTTAGGTTATGAAGAGATCGCATGGTTACCACAAAAGCTTGTCGTGTTACTACTACAATTCCAAAAATTGAGTCTCATAGCCGATAATTTGAACATACAGAGATCCTTCTTGCTTTAAGATGGGTCCAGGGTCCTGGACATTGTTTGGAACAGAGAGTTAAGAGTGCAGGTAACAACAGCCATTGTTTGTACTATGAATGTTGGGTCTGACCATAAGTTTAGGTTCAGCACTCATCCTGTTCACCTTTCCATGTGATACAAACTGAGCAAATCTTGGGATCCAAATAGGATTAAACACCATAGGAGCTTTGCATCCTCAGGGCAATCAACAGCTTCTAATTTAGTTGCAGTAGGTGCCAAATTGTTGTTTCTGCTGTCTGAATCAGTTGCATGCGAAATTCCCCCTGATCTGAGAGCAAGCATAGTCGTACCATTTGCATAAAGAGGCAAGGCTCTACGTGGTGCATGTTAAATAGCTTGTTGCCACTGAGTCTCAGCAGTTTTGCACCTGACAGTCAAAGCTGGTGTAAAATAATACGCAAGCCGAGACTCAGTGCCGTATCCTCCACAGCAGTTTTCAGGCTGGGATGAAGGGGGGAGTTGTGATTTACTTGGGTTGAGCAGAAGGCTACTAGTCTCTGTCCCATCCATTGCTGCCAGAAAGCAGAGTTCCTGTAGTCTCTTCTTACTCCTTCCCACAAGTAACAAAGCGGCTGACAAAGCTCAGGAAAGATGGATTAGCTTGGCGGTAGCTCAGACTGTTGTTGCTGCAGAGGCAGACCTAATTTAAGATGTTTCTTTCCTGGTGTCTGTCAGGTTTTCCTTTCACTTAGATGCGTTGAAATTTTCATGTGGTTATGCAGAAGCTATAATACGTGGAAAAAACTCCCTTTGATGTAGAGCAGCATCTTTTGTTCTGTGGGGAATCCGTGTTCATATCTGTGTGTCTGGGTAGGTTTTAAGGGTTTTAAGTATTACAGATAAGCTGTAGTTGAGACACAGCTGCTTTCCGTTGTTGAGTTTAGCCTTAAAGAACTGCACTGCAGCTCCTTCACGGTATGCCAGTGCATTAAAATTGTGTGTAAACATAGCTATTAAGAGAAAACCCCATTACTTGAGTATTCGGGGCACATGTGATTTAATAGAATGTGGGTGTGTCTAGTTTACATAAATTACACATTAGAGATCTGTGTGTTGCTGCTTGGATACGCTCTGCCCTAAAGCACTGAAAATGAGAGTTCATGTCTGCTGAAAGGAAGGCAGGACAGTTAATCAAGCATTGTTTGGAGAAATTCTTCTACTTCCTTAAATATGCAAATAGATACATGTTGTGTCTATATAAAGCCAAAAGTAGTTAGTAATTTAATAATAGTAGACTTAAGAAATTTTGTAATCTGCATCTGGGAGGCTTGCCTTTGTGGAAAACACTGGGTTTTCTAGAGAAGGTGATTGGACCTATTAGAGGCTTAGGTAGTCAGTAAAACAAGATTGGTTCTTACTTTTGTAGTTGAACTATACTTACTGCTGACAGTATTTTTCTTCAGTGCATTTTTATTCTTTACAGAGATTAATTTGTGACTTTGTTTATAAATCAAATCAGCAAATTACATTTTCTGTCTGTTATTTTCAACTTACAAATCTCAGAATAATATTGTGCTTTTTGCCTGAAGCACATTCCTTTTTCAAAAGAAATAGTAGCAGGTCAGATGTTGGACGTTGGGATGTTGTTTTGTTAAAGTTGCTGCCAAGCAACTCTGACAGCCTTTGGTATTGGGCCTGTAAGTATTAGTGTTAATACACGTGTAAATACTGACAGTGGATGTTATATTTCATGTTCTGTAAGCCAAGAATAGTGAACAGATTTTGTTCTATATGGGCCAAATCAGATTTGTTACAGTGTGGAATCTGTGTGGCTGATTTTCCCTGAATGGAAATAGTGTATGTGGCTCGGGATAGCAGTTGCTTAATTGGAGTGCTAGAAGCTTCTTAAGATCTTTCAAGACGTCATCTGACAACTTTTCCCGCTGTTACCTGAGAAACAAATATATAAAACCAGTTATTTGCTTAGTTCTTCTGTCTAGGGCCACAACTTCACATCCTGAAATGTTAACGCGTTTTTCAGAGTGCATTTCTGAATACTGCATTTTATGTGGTATGCACATTCTACTTATCTGTCCAGTTCATGTTGTAGATGAGGTCCATCTGTGAGTCCAGATGTGGACAAATGCCTCTGCAACATCCTTTTATTTTTTTGGTTTTGTTTTTTCCTGAAGGAGGGAGCAAGGGGAGATAAGTGCAAGGTTTCATATGGGCCATTTCCTGCTTCAGACTCACTTTGGACATGAAGACCAGACTAGTTACTACCATTTCTTCTTCTTTATCCTCCTGCTATTGACAGGGGACTGGTGCTTTTTTGCCTTTTCATCACAAAGTCCCAAATTTTTGGGGATTTCCCTCTGCCTGTCATGCAAACAGTTGAACTAGATCAAGCATGGCCATAACAACAACTTTTCAGTCTCAAAGTGCATTGCACGTTTTTTCTAGCATCTGTGACGCTTGTGTGTCAGCTCAAGCTGTGTTTTAGAAGGGAATGTATTCCTCTCATGGAACGTAATCACCGTAATATGTTAATCCGTTGATAGGCACCTGTCACCTGCCATAGGAGAGGGTTTAGCAGGCTGCCAGGAGCTCCCATTTAAAGTGCTACAACCTCACACATTCATTCTCTGAGACAGGAACAGTCACCCAGCCCGTGCAGAAATGGCCTGCTGTCCTGTGGTTTTTGTCAATGGAGATTTTTTCCTTCCACTCGTGAACCTGCAAAAGGCACCTGTCTGCGCCTTTTTGGGGAAAGAAGAGAGTATTTGTAGTCACTGATGACGCAGTATTTGTATTGACTGATGACTTCACGGATTTAGCATGTCATAGACAGAGCTGGGCTTGCAGATCAGAGATAGAGGAGTAATAATGCTGCTTTTCTCAAGGAACGTTCCTCATTGCTGATGATGGTGAAAACCAGTCTTCACCCAGTTTCCACTTTCTTGGTTTCCTCTTGGCGAGACTCTTTTCCCAAGAGCTAAACTCCTGTAAAATGTTCTTAAATTGGTCATGGCTGCATGAAGAGCTGGGAGGAAGGAGAGGGAGAAAGAACCTTGCGAGAGTCTTTGCAAAATAGTAGTTACAGTTCCTCAAAGCTGTATTAGAGAGGGCTGGATCTAGTGGTGCTTGACTGGATTTTTTTTTTTTTTTTAATTTCTAATTATGACAAAATGCTGTAGAGTGTGCCCCTGGTCATAAAGACACACTTTGGAAGCTTCAGAAGTGGCAGTATGATGGTGTTCTCCAGCCTGCACCACTGACTGCGTAGCATCCCGTGCTGACAAACACGTTTTTTTAATGTTCATATTTAGGACTTGATCAGATATTTTGCCCAGAGTGAGAGGCAACCTGTGTATTATTATAACGTATGTGTAAGGTATAAGGAAGCGTTTTGTTCATCTGTTTACAACGCTCAGGAAAGCATTTTTGAAAACTAAGTTCAAAAGAGCAGGAAATTTTTTTTTTTCTTTTGAATTCTCTAAGATGTGTGCCAAATGCATAACATCAGCCTAACAGGATATAAAAATGAAAGGAAATGTCTCTAGTCTTCATGCTTAGTTTCTCTCAGGATAACAGTTTCAGTCTTTCAGATATGGAGTTCGGTCCTCCTCGTTACCTGGGCGAACTGTCTGTGTGGTGTTTAGTATGGAATCCAGCAGTGTTGAGGAGAACTTGCGGTCACTGGTAAACACTAAAAATAGTGCCGATGGTACATACGACGCAAATGCATTGAGAAGCAAGATGGCATAATGCATTGCTATGTGTATTGATCCTTGTGTGAACTTTTCACTGTGACAGCACATGGCGGGGTAATGGGATTCCACGTGTCATTTACTAAATGCTGGCACCCAAAAAGCATTTCATAGAATAACGGTAGTTTCCCTTTTTCAAGTCTAAGTGCAAAACCCATCATGTTTTGGTATAAACGGCCTTTGGTTTGCAAATTGACCATTTGGGGGCCTACAAGGAAGGTGGGGGGGACTTTTTACAGGGGCCTGTAGTGACAGGACAAGGGGTAACGGGTTTAAATTGAAAGTGGGGAGGTTTAGATTGGATATCAGGAAGAAGTTCTTCCCGGAGAGGGTGGTGAGGCACTGGCACAGGTTGCCCAGAGAAGCTGTGGATGCCCCATCCCTGGAAGTGTTCAAGGCCAGGCTGGATGGGGCTTGGAGCAACCTGGTCTAGTGGAAGGTGTCCCTGCCCATGGCAGGCGGGTTGGAACTGGATGGGCTTTAAGGTCCCTTCCAACCCAAACCATTCTATGATTCCATGATTTCATTATGAGTCTGAGATTTAATATTAAAGCAGTGTAGTCTGGCATTTGTGAATTGCTGCCATTTCAGGCATTTTGCTGTGGCTGCGGTGGTGGTAGATGCCGTGGTGGTGCGTAAAGGAGAGGATGATTGGTTCCAGAGAGAAGACTGACCAGCAAGTTAGGGAAGGATTATGCAAACTCCTACTGAGCTGTGTACGTTTTGGAGATAGGCTGAGGTGGTAAAATAACTGCTGGTTTGTGTTAAGGGTTATTGACTTACACGATTAAAGATTTAAACTAAAACTAAACTAAACTAAAAGTTTGGGGTTTTTTCTATATGCTTGCAGCAGGGTAGGGCTTTTTGTGGAGTTGTAGGCTAAATCCAGGTAGTTCCTGTTGTGTCTTCAGTACAGGACAAATTTGCACGATACCAGATGGAAGTATTTGGAAAGTAAAAGTGAGAGTCCTAACACATTGGAAAGTGTGGGGAAAGGCTCAGGCTTTTTATACCGTTGCCTGGCTGTGGTTCATGATTTAATCACATTCTTCATTATTAGATAACCCTTTCGCTCACTGGTAACTCATTTATGCAGTGTGTTGGAGAGGGCAGGCTCTGCGCAGTGAGACTGCGCCGCCTCTCTACACGGATCATTGAGTGAGTGGTGTGTACCCATGAGGAAAAACTGGTTAAATCTTTGTGTGTCCTTGACTTGCTTTTATATATGGGGTACCCAAGCACCGTTCTTACCCGTTTTTCTTGGTTTCTCTTAAAATAGTTTGGCTTGTGAATTGCAAACCATCTTTAAGTATTTGCTCGTCTAGCAAATTTTGAACTGGGTAATCGGAGTCTCTGGTACTGGCAATGTAGCTGAACTGAACCTGTCCGGAGAGCTGCAGGCTGTCATGTGATTTGTAGTTCATAGCTTTCCGCATTTAAGGTCAGAATTCAGTCCTGCTAGTCTAGTAGCTAAAAATCAACGTGCATGGTAGATATTGCCGTATTCTGAGTAGTCTAAAAATGCAGAAAAGTCTTGGGAGAAGCTGGAGGAGAGGTTCTCAGTTGTTTATGGTTGAGCCGTGTATTATGCCAGCACAAACCCATTGCTAGCCTGGGGGTCACATTTTTTTCTGCCGGGCACTTCCACTGCTTTTACCGAGTTTTCTGCAGAAGTGATGAGAAATGGCTGGTTTAAGTGTTTTGCCGTCTTTCTTGCTTGAATGGCATTGTCTGCCTTGTGGGGCTGGGTGGCAAATCTTGAGGTTTTTGGTTGGCTTTGATGTTTTTGTGGAGTGCGTTTTCTTTGTCTGTATTTACGCGTAGCTAAGAACTTGCTGTCTGTTTTCTGTTGTGAGGGTTTAAATTAGCTGGGCGTGTTGAACACAACCAAAATGTTTAGTGCACCTTAAGTTTAGAAAAAAGTATTTGTTTTCCTGTGGAAATGCTAACTACTACGGAAGTATTTTCATAGCAAAACTGGGCAAATTTTGAGGGAAACTAGTAGTTGTCTCAGAACAAACGTAATAGTAATCCCTATTTTTTTTTTTCTCCCATGTAAACATTCCATAGTTCAAATTGTTGCCTTCTAGTGTTGTGTATAAATCGGGTAATATCCCAGTCACGTGAACACAGTATGTACTCTTACTGAAGCTGAACTTTAGAATTGTAGGGTTTTTAATCATACCAATAATGATGCTCGCTTTTGTTCTTTGCCAGGTTGATAGTTTTCTCTGCATTTGTGCCAAGATGCTCAACTAACTTAAGAAGAGTCCTTTGGGAATTGTTTTTAGATACTCTTAATCACTTGTATATACCATATTACTGTTTTAAATATAATAAATGGATCTCTGTTTTTACCAGTAAAAATATTTTGTTCTTTACAGGTTGCAAACAATCTTTGCAAAATTTGATGAAGTAAGAAACTCTGGAAATATGATTTTAAGTAGCGTCACGGGTGAGTAGGAAAGATCATATGTTTATAATCAGCTTGAGATTAGTACAAGATAAATATTTAAATGCTGGAATTACCAATGTGAGATGGATGTCTAGAAACATGCCAGTACTAAGAAAATGAGACAGTGAGACAAACTATGTTACTGCAAGTATTTTCTGGACTGCAGTTAGAATACAGTTGGAAAAGGTGTTCTCGAAACTGCATGGAAATGAGGAGTGAATCTTTAACAAGTTACATGTGTGCTCAAGTAGAGGATACGAGAATACTACGAAATACTCATGCATGGGAAAAAACCAAATGAACCTTTATTCTGTCTTACGGTATGTTTCTAAAAGAAAAGGGTAATTCAGTGATGAAAGTATTTGTTTTCTTCTCAGTTAGAATGATGAATAATGATTATAATACATGAAGTTTTAAATTATAGAAATAAGTGACTGCAGCATTCAAAGACACTTGAATGTTGAAGATAAAGTCTTTACTGAATTTGAGCTCTTTATTTTGGGTGTATTTCATGAAAACAAAACCTGTTGTGCAGATAATCCTTGGTGCTTCCTATTGCATTCTTGGTATAAAAGAGTAAAACCATAATTATTTCTTACTTAAAACTATAATTTAAGGGAAAACTGTTACATAACAGCACAGCGGGAGAGGTGGTGTGGCAGTGGCTTTAATGTAGTTGTTTTTGAAAGCTTCATGTCTGTCCTCTGCCAAGGAATCAGTAGATCTTGTTTTCTAGGGGAGGGTTCTCTGATGTGTATTTTCCTTTAAAAGCAACCATGCTGACTGAAAAGGAGTCTCTGCTAGATTTAAAAAGTGTCACTATGCAAGAGTAGACATATTTTGAGGTATGCATATGATTTGTTAATGTACTCAAATATCCCTTTTCATTTTAAATATTCTCACCCTTCTCTTGTTAGTGTGAAAACAGAAGAGACTGTAGGTTCAAAGGAATGTGTTTTTACAACCTTTTCTTTGAAGTCGTATGGGTTTCTATGCTGCATTCTGCTTTGAAATACACCATTGCTGTTATCCTTGAAAGAATACAAAAATAGGTTTGTGAAGATTAATATCAAAAGAAAATGAAAAGAAAACATACTAATTTGGGGGAAAAATGTTTTACATAAATGTTCTGTTAGATTGTAAATTTACTCATTGTGGAAGGGTAAGCCATTATGTCTTCTGCATTAAAGTTAATCCTGCTGTATAGGTTTGAGAGACTCAAAGTTGCCTTTTACATGTTTTTGTTTCTGTTGGTAGTTCTCAGGAGAATGTTACATGAGGGATTATAAATGCAGTGCGATAACTTAAATGTGTGTGTGAAAATTAAATACAACATTGCTGGACTAGTTTGCATAGCACTTCTGAGCTTTTTGTCTGTTTTAAGGGAACTGATTAAGTTTTGGGGTTCTTTTAAGCCCTTTTTATCTCATTTGTAAAATGCAGATGCTAATGCTGATCTACAGCAATATTACCTTATTTTGTCTTGTAGGTGGCAATTTCTTTGCAAAAGTTGCTATGGTTCTGTTTTGGTACCGTAGAGACAGAATTGCTCTAATACGCTGATTTCAGTATTTTTGCTTGAAGCTGGCTTATCTGTTGCATCTCTTTAGACATTTTTTTTGTAACTGAAAAGATACTTTTCTATTGTTAGCGCTTTATCTCGGTTTTGGCCTTCATTTATTCTCTGAAGGACAGTTTGTGTTTACCGCTTTGCACGTGTAGTTACTGTTGAATTCCTGTAGCCTCGTTACCAACTTTTCTTCCAGGAGCTTTACCAAACACCTCTGGATAAAGGCCAAATTTTAATGCCTAAATACATCTGTTAGTGTTGAGCATTTTTTTTAGTGCTTTGGATGTTTTGGAGTAGGGTTTGGGAAGGTCCAGGAGAACAGGGTTATTTTTCCAAAGAGGGAGAGGGCAAAAAACTGTTCAGCTTTAATAGAATTAGACTGGCGCAGCTCTGTAGTGGGCCTTTTAACCAGGAAAAGGAAGGGCTTTTTGCCGGATGGAGCTACTTTCCCAAGTAAGTTACCTGTTCTGATGAGGGTTCTCTTCAGTGTGTGATGGATAGGGAAGGGCTCGCTAATACGACTGTCGGAGATGTCAGCTTCTTGGTAGTCCTGAGTGACACTGCTGTGGCAGTAAATCTTGGTTGTGTTGACCTAGTTTCTGAGAATCCCGAGATGTGACTTAGGATTCTTTTGTCAAATCGTACTGATGTCAGTTGTTTGGTCTCTTTGTTCAGCGTGAAAGGAAGAATAAAACCCTCAAAACTTGCAACTTTAATCTGAAAACAAGAATGTTTTCTATAGCATTTTAATA